ACTACTAAGCACTACTCTTTTGTTTGAAGAACCCGAGTCAGATGCCTTGTAGAGGTCTGCCCAACTCTGGAAATCAAATGCCGCCTCACTGCCTTGAACAAGAAGGCCCACTATCGAAAAGACCAGAAGATCCAAGAGCTCCCATTGCCTTGCTGGAGCAGCCCTGTGGTTTAGGACTTGTCAGATTTTTTGGGTCGAAAACGAGGGCCCTAGAGCCTGGTGTCCTGGTGCACACCTGTCAGGGACGCCCGGCGCACTGAGCAATGGCGCGAAACCACACGGGCTCTCTGCGCCACGCTGCGGTGTCCTTCCGAGACTTGGCTAAAGGCTGTCTTATACTGTAGTGCGCCAAAACATATTCTCATGTATCGTTTACTTTACAAATTATATACCATACATGATGCATTATCTACACATCTTTAGTTCCATTATGTTTCGTTAATTTTCATTCTCAGAACTGTTTGAGTGATTTGTTTGTTATTTTATTACTACACATCGTTTCCCATGCATTATGTAATATTCACACTACACAGTTGCGTCCTACCCCTGCCCGACTTGAAAGCAGATTGTTTGAACAATCAGAACAGCAGTATCCCAAGACCTGAGCAAAACGAAGGTTTCTGGGCCAAGGTAAACCCTGAGCAGTCGGAGTTTTGGCTTCAGGCGTCTGGACCGGAACTTTCCAATCAGCAGATGAGCCCACCCGAAACGGCCAAGGAAGGCCCTCAGAATGGTGGCGGGTATAGTATAGTATAGTATGGCAAAAGCAAAGCAATCGCGGTGTTACATAGGAACTCTAACGGGACCCCCGAAATCATCAGCATTTCGAGCAGAACCAGGCGACTTCCGCAAGTCGCTGTGCTGAGGTCCTGAACCTTTATAAACCCGGAATCATAAACCTTAAACCCTAAACCCTAAACCCCTAAGCCGTACAGCCAAGGCATGGGCCTAAAACCAGTGCGGAATCTTCTGAAGGACCGTCCTGAACCCTTCAAAGCTTAAAAGGCTAAACTACCTCACAGAGGTTTTTCCTATTTCTTAGCACTTCACCCTAAACTGAAACCCCTAAACCCTAAATCCTTAAGCTCGTTGCGGAGGTTTCTTAAGAACCAGCTCATGTCTTAAAGCACCCTAAACCCTTAAACCCCCAAAGACCCCAAACCCCCGAAGCCCCTGAGCCCCTAAGCCCTAAACCCCTATAAACGACCGGCCCGGGTCTTAAACCCTAAACCCTTAGAAAAGTAGAATCCTTACTTGGAGGTTCATGGGTAGTTATATAAGTAGGGTTATAAGTCCCCTAATATGGGTTAGAAGTATAGTTGCCCTACTTCTATCCCTACTTATAACTACCCATGAACGTCCAAGTATGGCCGACATCATGGAAGCGGCATCGCTGCCTGTCTTGCTTGGTGGCCTCGGGCTGCTTTCGGACCCTGTTTCGAGTGGGTTTTCCACACCCGACCGGGACACGCCGAAGCTCTGACCTGCCCCCCATGGGCAAGAAGGAAAAGAAGAACGGAGAGGAGGCGCAACAATTACGGCGAGCACTCCTCGGGGCCAAGGAGCTCGAGAAGCAGACTAAGCTTCTGCAAGAAGCGGTCAATGAGCTGCAACAAGAACCCAGAGAGCCCAATACCCCTTAATTAAGGAATATGGCTTAAATTATATAGGGCTTCATATTATGATTTAAGCCATATTCCTTAACTAAGGGGCATTGGGCTCTCTGGGAAAACGCGGCTCTGCGAGGCGGGTGCGGGTTCGGCTCCAAGTTGCTTCACTCTCGAATTCAATTCAATAGGCACGTTGTTCCAACTTTCAGCCTCGCCAAGCAAAAAACATCATGAACCTCCAAGTATAGAAGCCCAGATATCTGTTTTGGGTACGCCAAATATTAGTTGCCGTAGGACCCAATAAGAGACCATAATTTTGACAACCACCCTTATAGAAACCCTGATATCTCAGGTTTTGAAGCACCCTAAACCTTAAACCCTTAAACCCCCAAACCCTAAACCCTTAAAAAAGTAGACGCCTTAATAGAAACCCCTGATATCAGACCCTAAAACCCTAAACCCCTTAAAGACCAGTCCAGGTTTTGAATTCCTCCTTCCACTTCCAGGGCTCTCCGAGGCCCTTCCTGGACAGCGAGGCGGGGCTCCAGGGTTTTTGGGCTTCATGGTTTGGGGGTTATAGGGTTTACTTTAACCCCGAATAGCCCTTTTTTTTAAGGACTTATATAAGGAAATCTTAATAAGGAACTATAAAAAGGTAGGTTATTCAGGGTTAAGGCAGGGTTTGGGGGTTAGGGTTTAGGGTTTGGGGGTTTAGGGTTTAGGGTTCAGGGGTTTAGGTTTAGGGTAGGTTTTGGGCTTCAGGGTGGTATGGTCTAGGGCCTAGTGCGGGGTTTTAGGTGTAGGGTTTAGGGTTCAGGGCGTAGTATGCAGAAGGGCTTTAGGGCCTACCTGGACCCTAAGGAACCTACGTTTTTAGGGCCCCCTAATATGAGTTCTTTATATAAGTCCCTAACAACCCTGAATAACTTACCTTTCAAGGGTTCCTCATTATGATTTCCTAATATAAGTCCCTAAACAGGTGGGTTATTTGGGGTTCAGGTAGGGTGTAGTAGCAGATATGATGCCCGTGGTCGGCGATCCAGGTTTTCAGCGATGGTTTTGCAACGCAGAGTGCTTCTGCCGAGATCTAGACTACGAAGAATCCGCAACACATTTTTTCAGGTGCCTACCGCAGCCAGGCGTGCGCTGTCAAGGGATTGTGGCGGTATGTCGTGCGGCGATGCGTCGAAGCCCCAAAATCCGATGCATGTAAGTCCTAAGCCCAGAATCGGACACCCCATATGTATGACTTTGCATGAAGCCATGGATTGGACATAAAAAACCTAAAACCTTAAATCTGTAAGCCTTATCCTTGCACCGTAAACTCTCACAGACCCTAAACCCCAAACCCGAAACACCCTAAGCTAAAACCCCACATGCTGCAGGTTTTGCACACAGCCCTCGAGCTCCTCATGGATGCTGCGCCCGTTGAGGTCCACGATGCGGCGCCTCGATGGGGATAGCTTGAGAGGGTTGGGGTCCTTAAGGGGCCCCTCTAAGGGGTCTATAGGGTACTATAAGGGTTTAGGAGGCTACTTAAAGGATCATGGGACTTCGGTATGGGATTTGGATCCCAGTTAGTTAGGGTTTAGGGGGTCCAGTAATTTAGGATTGTGGTTTGGGATTGGGGGGTTGCATCGGTATTGATTTAGGATTCAGTGTTTAGGGTTTAGGGCTGGTTAAGAGGTTTGTTGCCGTGGCAGAGAAGTCGACCAGGGACATAGGCTTCGGGGCCCACTACGAGTTCGAAAACGGGTGGGGTTCAGGGTGAATTGCTCATGATGTATTGCTCGTAGATTCTTCGGATTGTGGACAGGTTCTCCCAGGGCACTCATCGGTTTTGACGGCGGGCTTTCATGAGCAGCAGTGTACTGTTAAGTGAGAAAAGCTCCTGCTGCTCCTCGATTTCTGCCGGACATCTCGGACACCATGCGATTTTTCGATTCTGGCATCTTCGGATTCAGCCCTGCAGCGAACGCTTACCCGTACAGTTGATACTGCATTATATACTAGATTGTACTATGTTGTGCTCGTTTTTGGGTCATGGAAAGCCGTGCAGCCTGGAAACCTCGAGGCCCCGCAGCCCCAGAGCCCCTAGCAAGCCTTTCAACACGCGTAGATGACCCTGAACTCTGAAAGTCAACATTTCTAGGTAGGGCTTTGGGACATTATATATTTTCCCTTATTGGGCTTAAGAGGATCTTATTTACTAATATTTTTCAAAGGCTCTAAAAGCCCCACCTACATTTTCATAAGACTTTGAGAGCCCCAAAATGTCCGGTCTACGAAGCCTAAACTTGCAAGGATTTACATTTGGTAATTTGAACCCGAAACCCAAAGCCCAAGTGAACACCCTGAAGCTCTCATGCACGGGGTACCTAGATCTCCTATAGTTTGGGCTCATATATACCACTACCATGAATGCTAAACCCTAAATTAGGCTTTGAGTCCAAAATCCTATAAACCCTACAAGGCCCATTTAAACCCTACAAGTAGGGTCCTGGAAGCCCTGAAGCCCTGAACCCCAAACCCCGTAAGCCCTAAACCCCTACAGCAAACTCCGAAAAGTTGGAAACCGACTTAGGGACAAATAGTGCTGGGATTCCAAATTTTTTACTCTTAGGGATTGAGGCTATCGGGTTTCCAACTTTTTGGCTTCTACTGTAAGCCCTACCTTAACCCACATTACCTACCTTTTTAGGGACTTATATAAAGATATCATATTCGGGTAATTACCCTAAAAAAGGTAGGTTCCTTAGGGTCCAGGTAGACTGTAGGGTGATGGAAGCCGAGGTGCTTGATGCAGCAGCGTCGGGCCTCGATCTGCTCACGGCACCAGAGGAGCGCGGGGGGGGGGGGGGGGGGGGGGGGGGGGGGGGGGGGAAGAGAGGGGGGAATGTAGGTAGTTCTCGGAAATATAGGGATTAGGGTGTTTAGGGTGCATATGTAGGTAGCTCTCTAAATTCGGGGTTTAGGATTTAGGGTTTAAGGTTCAGGGACCTTATTGAGTAATATGGGCAATTCTCTAAATTAGGGTCCCTGTTTAGGGAATGCAAGTACTCCTCTAATGAAGTGGTGCGCAGGGCATGGCGCTAGTAGACTTCATCTCGGGGATCCAATAGACCGTTGCGATTTACTTACTTTTCGACACTGTGGCATTCAAGGCTTGGGATTAGCTTCGGATGGTGGGTTCCCGACGCATTCGGCAGCGTTAGGCAGGGTTCGGCTGACGGCTTCAGCATCGACGTGCTCTTCTCCGGACGCAGCCGCAAAAGATCTCGGCTTCGGCGCAACACTGCAGCAATCCTGAGCTCCCATTAGGGAAGCTCGCCGCCTGCTGTGCGTAGAGAGGCTTTGTGGCCGTAGCTTCTGCATCCGTCTGTGGGCGCCATGGCTGTCCCCGAAGGCTACGTGCCCGTCGTCGCCTTTCGCTTCTGTCCACCCTCAGGGATCTACTTCCAGCTTGGCATGTACCTTCTTGCGCCTCGGGCGTGCGGTGAACGGTGCTAGTCTACGCGATAGGCTCCATTGTAGTTTGTTTTTTGTGGCTTGTATTTAGGATCCCAAAAGGTAATCCCAAAAAGGAATTACAAAGGGGTCTATAGGAATTGTAATTACCGCTGAACCGGGTAGAGGCTCTCAAGGTCGGCCTGCACCCTGAACCCCATCCCTTTCTGCATCCCGACTCTCGACCAAGGACATGGTGAACGATGTAGTTCAGATCGGCACATTTCTACTCCACGGAGATTGGTGGTTTGCAGGATTCATGAGCTTCTTTGTACTTGGAACTCTGTATGTCACGATCGGCGATGTATCGGATAACAGCGAGCTGAAACGCTTCGATCCGCTGGGTGAAGCTCGACTCTGCTTGGCTCGGGGAGTGCCGACAAGAGTTTGGGAGGACTTGCTTTCTTATGAACGAAATCTGGAAGCGCCCAGCACCGGGCTCATCGGGCCCTACGGCGCGGCGCTGCTCCAACTCACGCCGCTACAGGCAGCAAGCTGCCTCTATGGGTTGGTGAGTTCGGCAAAGGCCATGGCCGAGGGCAGGTTGAACACGGAGGCGGGCCGATTCCGAACAGAGTTGTTAGGAGGTTTTTGAGGCTAGAATGCAGCCGTCGCTGCTGCATCAGCGATAGGCGACAGCCATCGTAGGAAAGTCTCGAAAAGCATAGTTTTGTTCAGCTGTGTAGGATCCACAGTACAAGGACGGACCCATGACGATGATAGACGGATGTAAGTATACTTGATATGTATTGTGTGTAATAAGCAACCTGCCGATTCTCGGAGTGCGTGGGAGGTGTCGAACGGCTCGGGCGGTGCAGAGACACCTGCATTGAAAGCTGTTCGACCGGCGAAGGCTGCCGCACTCTTTGCCTGGTACTTGGGTGCTTTTGCGGCGGAGCTGGCTGCCTTCGCCGTGGCGAGTGCTACATTGCATCCTATTCTGATCGTGCCTGGATACATGCTGGGTGCGGCGGCGAATGGTGCAGCGGCCTGGTGGGGTGGATCGAAGGAGTTCTTGGAACTTGCAGTCATTTCTTTCGGCGCCGTCACTCTTGCGATGGCCGGCCACCAGACAAAAAGCTTTCTCAAGAACAGACCATGGGTGAAAGCAGGAGGTGGCCCGGGGTTCATTCCAGCCGCTTCAATTCTGCTCCGTTTCATCACCTGGACGGCGCTCTGCTTCCTCGATCTTCCGGACGGCCTTGTTCCTTTCGGCTCGCTGGGGCGGCCCATGGGCTTCCCGGTGCTCCGCGAAAAATTCCTGGAGCCGGCCGCCGCTTGCTGGGAGGCTGTAGCTTGTTTCACGTCTCACTTCTCGATAACCGTCGAGACGGAGGCGAATGCGACCTCCATGTCCTTGACGGAAGAGGTGGGGTTCGGAGCGTGCAGCTGGCCGGCAACCGGCGAGCTGAGCAGTGCATCCACCATCTTCAACGCCTGCTTGTTGTTCTTCGCCGTGGTTCTTGTTCCGATACACATGTGCATCGTCGTCGGGATGTTGCTTTTCAATCCCATATACGCTTGTGCCGCCGACAACCTCCCTCTCAAGGAGGAGGTCGAGGCGAAGCAGCGTGAAATCGATCGTTTCGCCACGCAGAACGAGCAAGCCTCTGGCCAGCATGAGCTGCTGAGCCCGCTTCCGGATTAGGCAAAGTCCCCATCCACTGGTATCACTCCGCCGATGCAGCACAAAACTGCGATGTCCCGAGACACAAAAGCATTGTGGAGGTCAGCTATCCGTGATGTCACGTCATGTCGCTCTTGAACACCTCTAATTCCTGAAAGCCCTGAGCCTGGCAAGGCCTCCAATCCTAGAAGGGCTCCCGCACCGCACTCCAGAATCCAGCACTTGACGAGCAACAAAGGAAAGGTTCAAACATCAAACCCACCGGCCACAACCGGAGATACTGTTGATGATATAAATCCTGCATCTCCCATAATAAGGAACATACCGTAGTTCCCATAGTTTAGGATCCTTATAAGGTAATGCAGGATTTATATCATCAACCGTACTTAAGGCCTGAAGAGCAGCCCGATATCCGCAAGCCCTTCCCCCTCTGTCTTGTCTTGGTATACGTATGGGTGGTTGTCGATATTAGGGTCCCGCTTTGGGTCCTTATTACAATACGGCACCTAGTATTTAGGGTACCCCAAAAGTGGCCATAGTTTTGACAGCCACCCATACATGGATTCGTAGAGCACAAATTAGGTCAGCCGCTTATATGTACACCGTGATCCTGTCGTCCAGGCCTCCCCCTCTACAGATCCGAAGTACGAGCCGAGGGTCGCATGAGAGATCCGACACCAACAGCCCCCACTCAGCCAGATTTTGGGCCTAACAATTCCAATTTGTCCTAAAACAGAAGGTGGCCCCCTTAAGTAATCACCCAAGTCTAGCAACCCTAACTAAATTGAATAATCCAAACCCTACGTCCTTACAGAGACTACCCCTAAACTTTCGAACGAAATAACACGGAATATGCAGGCGGGGTCTGAGCAATTACCAATACCTTTGTCCTTAGGGTTCTTTTCTGTAGCGATTTACAGCAATATCAAACATGTACCCCAAAACCCTATCCTAAGCATCAAGGCCTTCATACGACGGAAGCCATTATCGAAACCATTCTAGAACCCTTTGAAGGACTCTCGGGAGGGACCCTATGTCTAGTCTCTTTGCTTCCAAGGCCACTTGGGGGTTTCCGAAAATAGGGGACCCCAATATAGTACCCTGTTTAGTGGGATCCTTATTATAAGAACCCCCAAGGAAGGTACCCCCCAATTTTCGGAAACTCCCACTTCATTGAGTACAGAAGCTCTTATAACCAACAGCTCGAGGAACACTATAGCTATTCTAAGTCCCCAACACCCTGAGCCGCTAAACCCTGCTCCCTAAATCAATCCTCAACTCTATAAGCCCTAATACCTAAAGGATCATGGGACTTAGTAACTAGGGTTATTATTAGGGTAATTGTACTTATAGCCCCAATTAGGGTACTTATAACCTCAAATACTAAGTCCCATGATCCTCCAAGTACTCCTTAGGGGTACTTAGAAATAATTGTTAATTGTTTATTATTAGAATCCCTAAAAACAGCTAAAATGTTAAGTTTGGCTAGGGTTCTAAGTTCAGCATAGACTCTATACCCCGCCACGTATCCGTTTTTTGTCAGGGCCGGGGTCTGCCTCAGACCAGCCGCTCGGGAATCAGCCTTGTCACCGTTTTTGGCACTTTTGTTTGAGGGTTTAAGTTTTTTTTGTTGAGGGGGGGGCATGGATCGGGAATCAGCCTTGTGAGGGTTCTTGGCACTTTTTTTGGGGGGGGGTTGGGGGTTTAGGGTGTAGGGTTGGGGTTTGGGATTTAGGGTGTAGGGTTTGGGGTTTAGGGTTTAGGATTTGGGGGTTTAGGGTTGGGGTTTGGGGTTTAGGGTTTAGGGTTTAGGGTTTGTGGGGGTATGGATGGGGGTTTGGGAGTTGCGGGTTTAGGGTTTTGGGGTTTCGGATTTGGGGTATAGGGTTTCGCTTTCCTGTTGTCACTCAGAGCTCTTTTTAGGCTTGTTCTCTGTTGGGCGGACTACGGGTGTCAGTGTCATCGTCTAGCAAAGTGGAACCGACAGGGAGGCAATGAGTTGTAGTGTTCTTGAAGTTCAAGAGTTTCGACGGTTTGCAATGTGGATAGCTCTCTAGCTGAGGGTCCTTTTTCGGTCCCCACAATATTGGTACGACATCCTTATTAATTATAAAAAGCGGAACGCAAAACCGACCCTATTCAAGAGAACTACCCATGTACCATCTCTGCAGAGCTCAATATCTGACAGTGTAGCAGGCTCTGAGTCGATCCATGGGGTGGCAGTACTCCTTCATTCCAATCAGGCCCATGTATTCATACAGGATATACTTTGGCCCCAAAGTACCTACATTAGGGACTATTGTAAGGCCAAAATATAGACTATGTGAGTACATGGACCCTGAGGCCTTAGGGCTCGTGCTTATTGCAGTGGGCAGTTGGTTGAGACGCTTCACCTACAGCCACCCTTAGAGCAACCCTCGGTGAGGGGTCGAGAGTTTTGGGGGCGGCGGCTACAGTTAGGGAAGTAGGGGCCTGGGATTTAGAATCTAGGATTTAAGGGATTTTCGGGGTTCTCCGCGCAACGGTGATGCCGAGGCGAACAGCTGAGAAGTATTTTGCTTCTGGGCTCGCAAACTACTGTCGACACATTAATCTTAGGAGCTACTAGCTACGGCTTGTTATGCGATATACAGTACACCCCATACCTTCGGGAAATCTACAAGCCAAGCCCTCGTATACCCCACCAGTAGGATCCTTACAAACATGCTGGACAGGAGCCACACAACTGCAGCTAACTGTATGGCAGGGTTTGGCACGTTGTAAGCACTGGTGACTATTGACTCACAACCCTACTTTTCAGACAACTACTTACTCTTGATATTGGAGGAGCTAAGGAGCCAGGGATGATGATAATCCCTATGAAATAAGGAGCTAAAGAGCCAAGGGACCCCCCAAAACCACTGGCTAGACTATTTAAGCGCTCATGACCCCTTGAATCTGACCAAGCCTTACATGCATCCAGGATATCCCTAGACCCGAATCCCTAAACCCCAATCCCGAAGCTCTAATCCCAAAACCGAAAATCCCTAGTCCCTAATTGTGGGTTTGCAGGCTCTGTCATCCAGGCTCCCTCACCCTTGCGGTTTCGATCTTCCCGGCAGATGGAAAAGGGCCCACAAACAAAAATGAAAAGCAAGAACATCCAAACCGTGAATACCTATAGTCTCCATTGTAGTTCCTTTTTTGGGTTAACCAATTTTATGGTTAGGATCCTGTAATAGAGTCTTTGGTAACCCAAAAAAGGAACTACAATGGAGACTATAGTACTATAGGTATTGTAGATTTGGGGGTACTTGGAGGCCCTTTTGACTTAGTAAGTAGGGTTAGTAAGGTGGGTTATGGGGATTATAATAGGGTCTCTAGGGGATACTAAGTAGACTTACTAAGTCAAAAGGGCCCCCAAGTAGAGGATCTAAGGTTTTGTAATTTGGGGTGTTCGTCTCAGGGTTTGGATGAGGATTGAGTGTGGGGTGTAGGGCCATCTCTGCTTCAGCGTGGAAAGGCAAAGCGCAAGATAAGCCCAAGTTGTCCAGAATGCCCGGGATGAGATATCAGGATCTATCTGATGTTGCCGCAGCTTCGAAATACGAAGTTTGCAACGCGGCTGCATTGTTCGAGCTTGAGATCATGCAAAGAATGGCCTGTCGCTGTGCTTTGAGGGTTTCGGGGCTGTAAACGAGGGTAGCAAGAACACAGCGGCTCATAAGGACCAGGCTAAGGAGTCGGAACTTCATGCTCACCCTGCCGTTTAGGGCTTGGGGTTTAGGGGTTTAGGGTTTAGCGCCGGATGAAAGCAGTGTAGTAGTGCTTGGCTGCTTGAGGGGTACGGGTGGAGGATCATCGGGCGGTTGCCGCAAAGGACTAATATAGAATCCTAAATATTTACCAAGATTATCAAATGTTGTTTCTTAGGGTTCCTTATTATAACAAGACCATAAAGGAGCCCAAAGCCTTATTCTAATTATGCGGGCCCCTACATTGGTTACTTAGTTGAAGCTTCATGAAGTCAGAGGCTCATGCAAGCCGGAGGAACCGCTCGAGCCGATGCTCAGAACCTAAGGCGGCATAATCAGAAACCTTGGGCCCTAAACATCTCCGATCCCTAAATCCTTAAGCCCCGAAACTTCGTCCTGTATGTATTGGATGAAGCGGTGCCAGGTACAAAGGCGGCGACATGCAACACGACTGCAGCAAAGAAGCGGAAAGTGCAGGTTGCGGGTTTTTCCTCCTCAACTATGTCTCAATCTGGTTCGAGCGCCCTTGCGTGACACCCTGATCCTCAGTTCTCCTTGGTGCCAGCAGTAGGCTAGGAATTGAACGCACTGCTGTGCAGTTACTATAAAGGTCTGATTACCTGGGATATTCTACAATGGTATCCCTGGTAGCCCCCGTGCCGCAATACTGGCCTGCTCTACCTATCAAGTTATGCCCCACCTCCGTAGAAGTAGGCACCGAGGACATGCGTGAAAAGTCGGATCGCAGTCCTTTCTATTTGCCTACTACGGTATGCCTGGGTTGGTTCAGGGCGCATATCACAGCTGTGGTCTCGGTGGAATCTCAGTGCTGACCACCTCCTAGAATAGAGTGATTTGCTGTCTGGTTCGTCCAACGTTTTGAAGGTTGGTATTTGGCCTTCTGTCTAGGTCGAGTTCACCATCGCCCCTTAGCCGTAAGCTTGTGCCTGAGCCAATGAGCATCGGGATATTATCAGGCTTACATCCTAAACTAGGTGGCACTTCGGGATGGTTCAAAAAACTTCCCTCTATGGTTCCTATAGAGGTACCTATTGATAAATACTTGTAAGGGCCCCTAAACTTCAGCCGAAGAAAGCCTTTACGCTTTGGCGTGACGCATCCTCTCACTCAGGGGAAGCCTCTCTTCGACCCTCTCTCCGTCCAGACTTGGGGTTGTTTAGGGTTTGAGGGTTTAGGGTTTGGGTGTATAGGGTTCAGTGTTTCGGGTTTAGGGTATAGGGATTAGGGTATAGAGGGTTTGCAGTGTATAGGGTTCAAAGTTTTGGG